AGTATGCTTGATTCGTCGGGAGCGTGCAGATCGTGACTTTCACCAGGTAAACTAATTCTTTATGTTATATCAGGTGCAGCTACATTATAGATGGTCGGGCATCTACCGTTTACCAAGGGAGTAACTTGAAAACGGTATTTTAGTCATGGAATAGTAGACTGGTAGTAAATGTTCGGATATTTGGAGCTGAAAACGGATGATTGGCATTCGCATTCTCACAGTTCAAGTAGTCGAGTCAATATTTGCGTCTGTTTTGTGCTTGGAATGAGTGGAGTCAAATCAACGAGAAATTTTATGCATATGCGTAGTCGCAGGCGCCCAGTCTTGTTATTCCTAGAGTCTAGTGAGACGGAAAAAAAGCATCATTTACTAAACTAGTTGTAGGAATTTTGACTAGTTATACATACGTGTCTTATTGTTTTTTTTATTGAAATATGGATGCGATCAATAATCAATGGAATCAAGATTAATCTTGGTGGTTTGGTGTATCAGCTCAGTGTGACAAGTTAACACGAACATCGGAAATCGTCAGTCGGGATACTATTTTATATGAAGGAATTGAATATGGCCAGCTGAACCGCAACTGACATTCCTGCATATCCGTTGTCGTCAACCACCTGTGTGACGACTATGAAGTTTCCCTGTCGAAGAGTTAGAAGATTGATGGTGTCTACAGAGAGTTTAGTCATCAGAATAAGCATGAGTTTTACAGAGGTACTGACACTTCTAATGATCACAAATATATATGACACATTGGTGAAACACATGAATAAGTAGCCTGATAAACATGACCAAGTGTATTCGATAAGAGTAGAAGTGGAAATATAGACTGAATCTTCCACCTCTCGGTAATACTCGATCAGACCAGTGTTCCACGAAATTTACATCAACACTCAGACCTCATGAAGACTTGTGGTAAAGCAGTTGATAAAGGGAGGATCTTACTTGTGAACTGTGAACCGAGGTTCTGTTAACACCACGTTTATTCTCTTCCCTTTCATGATGAATTTCATTTAGTTGTATACAAGGTAGTGTTTTTTTACTGGGCTTTGGTATTCACTTCACGCTGTTGATTGATGCGATCCTAGGGGTGGATGATTTTATTTGCAGTTAGTATATCTCCTTCAATGAGAGGAAACAAGTTGTTGGTTGTGGTTTTAACCTCGACACTGGAAGACCGTAAATCGTGATGGAGTCTGTAGTTGACTGAGTAGGTTGTAGAAAGCTTTGAGTTGATTCGTTCGTCAGGCTTTAGATATCAGTATGCCTGGACTACAGGGCACAGCGCTTCTATTTGGATCTAATGACTTAGTGTGGATTTTGCAATGGCTGAGACGATTGGTCACGGATATGCCAATGAGCCTCATTATTGGCTGGATAGTGGTGAAATTGAAAACAGCTGTTGGTAAACTCCTGATAACTTGTGTCGTGTCAGGCTTCTTGGGGTGAAATCACACCGGTACTTGGACAGGAGTTTGATGGTGGTAACACACTTCACTCTGGTGATCAATATTTCAACAATTCTGGGTATCACTTTGTAGCGGGCGGGTGTTAGAGGCAGTCATGTATGCAAGACATACGCTATTTCTCATTATATATCCTCCCATTATTGTTAGAGTACTCCCGTCAACACAATTATCAGTGTTCAAGCATCACGTGTCTCTCCAAGTAGTTGTGTGATTGAAAATGCGATCAGTGTCACTAGAGCTCAAAGTTGACAAAAATCTAATTTACTCCTCTTTCAAACTGCACTAAATTTGTTTAAGATTTTAAAATTCCATCACAAGTTCAGTGCATTACACCCGTCATGTGTGTTTAGTGATTCTCCGTAATCTGGTAATCATCATGATTACAGTTATCAATGTGTCTTGTAATGTTATCATAGTGTAATTCTGATAGGCATTAACAATGAGTGAACACTGCATATTATGCCAACATATTTTGAATGTTCACTAATTAATCCCAATGATTGTGCTACCCAGAGTACATGAATTTAGGCTATCCATGAGGTAAACCGGAGCCAAATTTGAACCAACTGAGTCTGGAAATTTACAATCCATA